TTGGTGTATAGGGAACATAAGTGGAACTGCAATATATTTGGCAGCTAAAGCATTTGAAATATCTGGGTCCAACATATAAACGGCAAGTCTGCTTTCTATTCTCTTGCATTCAAACTGTTCGCATGTAAACTTAACTGGGTCCCAAGCAGTTCCAGCAGCATTGAAATAATAGTTTACTTCAGTGTTGAGGTTTGAGAAACCAAAGTCTAAGTCAACTTTGTCTTTGCAAAAGTCACAGAACTTGGCTCCACCAGTTCCAGCTACAGTAATGCTGAATGGGTCTTGTGTTGGTGCAATGACTAAGTTATTTTTGCTTGGAGTAAGTTCGATAGAAATTTTTCCTGCCCAGTTTGGCAAGTATCTTAAGAACCTAAAGATGAGGAAAGATGACAAAGGAACTCTAAGTTTCAGTTTTACTTTAGTGGCAGCATTTCCATCTGAACCAGAAAGGTTAACATAAACTCCTGGAACGTTAGGGTCAAGTCTTCTTATTTTCTCAATAGTTGCATACTGGTCTGTTTGTTCTCTAGCTTGTGGTTGTACTGAGTTTCTCAAAGCGAACCATTCATAGTTTGCCCATGTTACTGTTTGAACTAAGTCAGAGTTAGAATATATCTTATATCCCATGAAAACTTCTGGAGCATATTGGTATCCGACATAGAAAATTCCATTGCAACCTTTCTTGTCAGACAACTTGGCAGAAGGTTTTATTTCAATGTCTTGTTCCACGTATAAGAATGAGTTGTCAATAGAAATAATATGAAACCTGTCGCAAGCAATATCTACTGTTGTTGAAGAACCTTCTCCAAACTCACCTACGTTTCCATAAGAAACAGCAGTTGTATATTCGTAAGTTCCAGGAACTATTTCTGACCTTCTAATGGCATTGTCGCATTCGTTATACCATTCGGAAACATTTCCGTTCATGGCATCCAAAACTGTTGGCGTTATATTCTGAGCGGCGTACATTTCATATGGGTAAAAATATAGAATAGTTGGATTTATGTGTCATAATTGTTTCGGACCAAGCTTTACTTTCTTCCTGACTGAGTTTTTAACTCTTCTTTTTCCTTCATTGCCACTACTTTCACTAGATGAAGTTACTTCTTCACTACTTTCACTTTGTTCTACTCTTCTCTTTCTTCTTTGGTGTCGCTTTTGGTAACTTGCCCTCTGCTTCAAGTTGTTGCATCTTTGCCTCATGTTCACCTAGTATGTTGTAAATTTCCCATGTCCTTTTTGCCTTTGGGCTCTGGTCGCCCATCTCAGGTAACCTATATCCTAGAAAGATTTTGTCATAGTTTGTATTTGAGTCTTCGCGTATTGTTTGCATGACTCTTTCCTGAGTTTCCGGTTCAAGCTCTTCAAACAGAGCTTGTCCATATGGAATAAGCTCGTTTCCAAATATATGTTTTTGTAGCCATTCTGGTTTTCTTTCCATGTTACCAATAATATCTTTTGTGAATGGGAAAGCTTTTACCCAATGTTTCAGTCTTGCGTCATTTATTTCTGTAGTTGGTTTTATTTTGTCAAGGAACATGTTTTTCAATACTAACATTTCATTTGGTACTGTCCATTTGAGTTTTCTTAAATATTCATCCCTTCTCGGTTCATTGTCTGCAAAGTAAGTTTTTATGACATTTTGCAAACTTTCGTTTGCAAGGTCATGTACAATAGGTTCTCTTTCTTCTCTCTCCCTAACTTTCTTTCTAAACTCTTCACCAAATATACCATCTCTATGGTTCTGTGTAGTTCTTTGAGATAAATGTTTTAGAACGTCAGGTGTTATATTTCCATCAGCCATGTTCATTTCATACTGGTCCAAAATATCTGCATGTTTCATATCTTTCAATGGCATTAAAGCCGCGCTGAAAATACCAGCTATATCTGGTTCACCATTCACTTCCATTGCGTCTACAACTTCTTGGAATTGTGGTTGTAAGTTTATGAACCACCTATCCGGATTAGCTTTATGACCCATCTCATTGTAGTTCCATAGTCTGCAGAAACAAAAGTAGGTTTGTTTCCATATTGGTTAGGTTCTGAATGAACTTTAAACAATGTTTCATTTCTATATGTTTTGTTGAAATTTAACCTTTTATTTTCACCGATTTCATCCAAAGATTGAACGTTATATGGTCGTAAGTAAAAAGGGTTATTGTATTTGCGTACATTATCTTTCAGTACTTCCATTCTATGCTGAATATTTTCATCTGATGTTGGAGTCTTTTGTATGTCGGCGAACATTTTTCGATATTCTTCTACTATGTCAGCCGAATTTTTCTTAGACTCTTGGAAAGATTCCATATTCTCCGCATACTCTTGTTGAGGGTCAAGATTTTTCGGCTGTTCCAAATCTTCATCTAGTTCTGTGAAGTTAGTTTCCAAAGGAGGGATTTGTTCGTTTCCTTCAGGCTCTTCTAGCTGTTGTTGCTGAACTATTTCTTCCATGTCTGGTTGTATCTGAACTTCTTCCTGTTGAGTTTCTTGTACCTCATCTGCTGGCATTTCATATATTCCGAGACCGTTTTTTAACAAGTTCCCTATCTAAGTCATCCGGACTCATAAACCTTTCTTCTTTCGTTCCGTCTCTATTTTTTACGCGTTTCATGAAGAGAGTTGAATTATCATTTAGCTCTGACATCAAATATCTCGGAGTAAATTCATTCATGTCATTTGGATGATATGCTATTAAATCATATCCCTTAGCGAGCTTGTATTTTCCAGGTTTGAGATTATATCCGATTTGATGCTGAGCCATAAAGCTAAATAGGTTCGGGTCAGTATTTCCTTCCTTGAACTTTCTAATAGCTTCTTTATATCTGTCACTAAAGTCAAGAGTATCTGGGTAACCATAATCTGCTTAAGCATTTTTAAGAATTCTTGGTTTCCTTTTTCTCTACTTCTTTTTATGTCCTTGCTCTGTTTGTGGTTGTTGTTGTGCTGGTTGTGGAGGTGGTTGTTGTGCTGGTTGTGGAGGTGTTGTTGTGCTGGATTTTGAATTGTTGGTTGTTGTTGTTGTGTGTGCATGCCTGTGTCTGTGTCCATGTGACGATGTAAATGTTTTAGGTAGTCCTGGTGCAAGTGCTTCTCTTGAGGGTTTGGTGGTATATAAGTTCCACCAGCTGGCACATATGTTCCATCTGCAGCATAATGTCCTACCTGACTTTTCGTTTTTTAAGAAAGCATTTACTAGGTCTGTTTTGGTCTGTTGTAACTCTTTTTCTTGACTTTCCACAACAGTTGCTCTAACGGAGTCATAGGCACTTTGAACTGCCTGTCTCGTTGCTGCATCTGTTATTTTCGTCATATTTTTGTGCTACTTCTCTTAACTCTTTGTCGAAACCTTCAGACTTCAGTTTCTTTCCAGATGAGAAGTCGTTCACTAGTTTCACCTTACTATGAAGAGCTTCGAAGGCATTCTTAAAGTCGGCATTCATTAAAGCTTCATTTGAACTGTCTTCATCCGCTTGTATTTTTGTCCTTATTGACCCTATAAGTTGGGCTGCTTTAGCGTTGGCTTGGGCATCTAACCAGTCAATTAGCTTTTAATATTCTGCGCTTTTCATTGCCTTTTGCATGGCTGCGTCGTTATTTTACTTTCTTGTGCTAAGTTTTCATACTGTACGGTTTGGTTTTGCAACTGTAAAAGTTTTTCTGCCTTTACATTTGCTTCAACTTCTTTTTTTATACTCATCGCTATCATATATGTCTTCAGGGCTTTTTGTTTTATCTCTTCATCTTTCAGTACTTATATATTGAGTAGTATGGTTTTTCAAATTTATAACATCTTGTCATTTTTTTGCTACTTCTGCTGCTTTTTCTGACACTTTTTTCGCATATTCCTCTGTACTTAGTTCTTTCAGTTGTTCTTCTTTCTTCTTTTTCTCTACGTTTAACTCATTTAGTTTCTTTGTGTGTCTGTCATATTCTAGTTTCTTTTCGTTTTCACTTATTTGTTTCTGTATGTCTATGTTTGACTTTTTGACATCTGTTATTTGATTTTTGAGTGAACTCAAATTCATTTGACTTTGAGGGTTATAAGCTGTTCCGTCTGCAGCTCCACCATAGCCTGCCATTTTCGCTAAAAGTGCCGCTCTTAAACCTCCACTCTGTGCACCAATAACTCGGTTTAAAAGCATAGGGTTGCTTGACATTTGTTGCAACATAGTGGGGTCATTCATCATTTGTTGTTGCAACTGTTGTTGTGGTGTCAGTTTTACTATTGGATGTTTCAATGCTCTCTTCCTCTTACGCATATTCTTACGTAGCTTACGTGGCATTTTAAGTGAAGTTAAAAAGTGGTTTTTGACAGATGTTTATATGACACTTTTTGTTCAGCACAAAAAACTACTCGGTCAAAGTGTTGTCAGTTTTGTAAAATAACTGTCTTATCTCATTCTATAAGGGAGAAAAGGCTTCTCAAAGTATACTTCCTTGGAACGCCTGTAACTTTTCCTGTAGCGACGATAGACCCTTACTTGTCCGGACAAAGTTATACTATTTTGAGCGCTCTACAAAAAAGTCAACGGCGACGACTCTCAAAAACCGTTGTGTAAAAAGTTTTACCGTTGGACAAAAAAGTATATATAGAAAACAAAAAATGTTTATAGTTCATTCAATATTTGAGATGGAACGGTTTTCCAACGGAGACTTTTCAATAAAATAAAAAATAGAGGGGGTTACCGTTGACAAAACCGTTTATTTTAAACTTTTCTATGAGTAGTCCGAAAAAAACAGTTCATTTTTCATAATGGAAGGAAGAACAAGTGTCGCAAACAATTCTTCGACTACCTCTGCAGTTAAAGTTCCTACAACTTATGTCTCACCATTCTCAAAACCCTTACGACCTCCTATAATACCAAAGCAATTTCCTCATACAATTCAAGACAAATTGTCCAACAATTCAAGACAATCTACTCAAAACACAACAAACAACAGATACAGTTGTCCAAACAGCACCAGAACAAGTTTCACATAGTTCTACAATTCAAGACAAATTGTCCAACAATTTGAGTTCTTCTTCTTCTCAAAACACAACAGAAACATCTGAAACAGATTTACAACCAGCACCAGAACAAGTTTCACATAGTTCTACAAGTATGTTAACAAGAGCACAATTTCAAGATTTAATTTCTCTTGAACAATATTCGAGTAACGAAACACAAAGCGACGACTGTAACCTCTCGCTACCCGAATCCATTCAAAGAAAATACGCCATGAAAAGACTGAAATTGTTGTATAAACTTCTTAACAATTGGGGGGTCGAAGACAACACAGATTATAGTGAAATGTTTAACAAAGTCATAGAATCTGTTAAACCAATTGAAAACGACATAAAAAATCCCGGTGTTCTTGTAGACCTTTTCGCCTCAAAATTACCAGTTACAACCAATCTAATAGCAACACAAGCTATAGAGCAATTTATTTTATGTTTTCCCAAGCAATATAGACAACACCTGAGGGAAACAAGAATAGGAAAATTTCAATTGGTGTATCCTACAACATACAACTATTACGAAGAAGCAAATGAATATGGAGAACTCTCATTCCATTTCACACTTTCAGTTCCTGAGGGAGAAGAAAAAGCAATCTATCATGTACAATCTCTTGCAGGATGTGAAGGAAAACCTCACATAATAACTACTGTTGCAATTGACAAACCTGCAAGAGTCGAAGACGATGTTTTGTTCGCGTCCATTGCTGGTTTTGGCATGGGAGAACCAATTCCAATTTCCCATTTCACAGAATACTCAGCACAACATTTTCAAAATGTAGAATTCGTGTTCTACGACCATCAAAAGTTCCTGCTAACAAAACCAAAGAAACAATTTGTCTCAATATTTGTTGCTGGTCATGTGGCTGACAAAGAGCCATCAGATACTGACTATGAAGAAGAGGAGGAGGAAGAAGAAAACGATAGCGATGTCGTTCTTATCGAATAAAAACTTTAATTTTTTACTATATAATTTTTTTAGTTCTCCTCTAGGTTTTTTTAGGGGCTAGAGGGCACGAAGTGCCTGGAAGCCCCACATACCTGACCTTTTACTATAAAATTATACCTCAAATTCAAATATTTAAAATATTATTTACATAATTATCTCAAAATTATATTTTTATATATTATTTTTCATATGTATAAATCATATAATCTATATCAGGTCAGGTATGAGGGGCTTCCAGGGGCTGCGCCCCTTCTAGCCCTAAGAATTTTGCCCAAGACCCAAGAGGAGGACCGAACCCCAGCCGACCAGCCGGTGACAAAACCAAAACCGTTGTTATTTACATCATATTAATGATGTCACTTTTAAAAATGTCACTTTTTGTTTCACTTTTCACAAATTATATATGTTTTCATGTTTTGTCACTTTTCTGTCACTTTTCGGGTAAAAACATTTTTATTATTATATATAAATGAATTTTACAAAACCACCGTTACCGTTCTTTGGAAATAAGAGTAGATGTAAAGATATTATATTGAGAGAACTTAAGAAACTACCGAATGGTCTAACATTTGTAGATTTGTTCGGTGGAAGTTTCTATATATCCCATTTGTGCCATACCGTATTTCCTGACTCAAAGATTATATGCAATGACTTCGACAACTATATGAACCGTCTCAAACATATTCCAGACACAAACAATATATTGAAAGAGTTAAAAGAAAAGATACCTATAGGTAAGATGGAACGTATACCATTAGATAAGAAAAATATTGTGAGAGAGGTTTTGAAAAAAGCAGAATATATAGACTGGGATAGTATATCTGCTAGACTATTATATAGTGGTTCTATAAGAGTTCATGACATTGAAACACTTATGTCAAAAGTTTTATATCTTAACTATACAAATGTTTTCAAAGAGAACATAGAAAAATATATTGAGGGTATAGAGTTTGTGAGATGTCATTGGACAGAGTTGTATGAAAAATATAAAGACAAGGAAAATGTTTTCTTTATAGTGGACCCGCCGTTCTATAACACATGGGATTTTCAATACCAAGTAGACTGGACTTTGAGAGACTCTTTAGAAACTTTAGACGTTATACATAACCATCCATGCTTTTACTTTACATCCGATAAAAGTGGTTTGGAAACCGTTATGAGATGGTTAGAGGACATACATGACTATGAGTTTAGATATGACAAGATAGAATATGAGAGAGGTCCTATAAACTGGAGAAAGTGTCATAACAAAGAAATTTTATTAGTAAGTAAATGTGGTTTGAAATAGGACTACTTGTTTTAGGTTTTTTCCATTGTGTCATTTATTTATTTGACGTGGCAGAAAAGTACAGAGAATATGAAGATGAACCAATGCCTGCAAATGTTCAGTATATGTACTCGTAAGAGATATTTTTATCTAATATTAAATGGACGCACAGAACTTAGCGAATGCACAGCAACCTGGACAACCAAACCCAGAGAATATTCCAAATGAAGTTAGAATACAAACTGCAATGGCAAACTATGGTCAAGTGCCAACAGATGTACAAATGCAAACTGCCATGTCAAATGACGCTGCGTTAGGTTTGCCACCATGGTATGCAAATATGAGATGGAAAGAGTTTTATACAAACCCTGAAGTGGGATATAAACAACTTTATGCAGATGACGCGAACACAGGAGTTGACCCAGAATATGTTTTCTACCAGAGGAGAAACAGAATGTATGAGCTCCAGTTAAAGAATGCTATGGAACTCAACAGGAAACGTAAGAGACTAGGCGGACATTAGATTTTTACATATAGTAAAATGGGTTTCTTCAGTAGTATTGGAAACTTCTTCAGAAGAGTTGGAAGAGGTATATGGAATGGAATAAAATCTGTCGGAAGAGGAGTATGGAACGGTGTCAAAAATATTGGTAAAAGAGTAGGTCAGTTTGTTGGTATTATACCTAAAGACCCTGAACCAGAAGAACAAGCTCCTGTAATACAACAGCCTGAACCTGCACCACAGTCTAGTTGGCAACCAAATCCAACACCTCAACCGTATTAAAAAATTATATTTTTACCGTTCGATAGTAGTTGTATATGAAACTAAGTTCTAAGTAAAACGCATGGTATAATGGAATTATTCTTTTTCTTCCATCTGTAGTAAACCATACTTGAAAGTCTGAAATACTTCCACTTGGTGGTTCGTATAACTTTGTAGGTTTTTCGTAAAAGTCATTTGCCAAGCATAAGAAAGAGTTTTGGGCGCCAGAAAATGAAGCATGAACAATAATAGCATCTTGGTCGAAAATATTTTCATATGTTCCATTAGGGTTTTCGACTTCATAAAAGTCTGGGTGTACTGGATATGCTGCAGGCTGATTTAACATCCTCATAAATCTATACCATGCCAAGTTGTTATATTTTGTAGAAATATAAACGTTTTCTCCAAGGTCTTCTATTTTATTGATTTTAACAGTTGCATTTTTCCTGTCATAAATAATATCGAGATGGTATTCTCCTTCGTCAATGTTATACTGGTTTGCATATTCGATATAGATATCGTTTATTTTTTCTTGAAAAGCTTGAAGAGTTGTTTCTAAATTTACAAGCAAACTAACTTGTAAAAGTTTTCCCTGTTCAAATTTCTCATACATACGTTTTTCTTTGTTATAGTATCGAACTTCAAAACCGACCGTAAATGGGAAACCATGTATGGCTTCTGAAATGAACTTCATTCTACGAAAGCCAATAGCTTTTGTGACAGATGGGTCTCTTAACCATCTTAATGGGTAGTCAAAACGATAGCCTTCATGCTTTACGGTCTCTGTCTCAAACTTTTGACCGACATTAGTAAAAAGTTCATCTAATGGTTTAGTTGTAGCAACTCTTGAATTTTCTTTTTCTATTGGAAGCATATTTTATCTATAATAAAAATGTCAAATGAAACAGCGTCTATGAGAGAAATACAACACAACCGACAACTCATTATGCAAGCTCTAAATAAGAACACAACAAACTTTTCAAACTATTCTAAGATATCTGAGTCATTGAAAGAAGGAAACTTAAAACTGACATTAAACCCAATGACAGATGAGTTTCTGTTTCAAGACAATAAGAACCATACTGTCTGTTAAATCCAACAAAAGGAACTTTAAACGAGAAACCTATAAATGAACTTCTTTTGAAAGCAGATGTTGACAACAAAGCTGACAAAGAATATGTAGACGATGCAATAGCAAAAGAGAAGAAAGAGCTAA